GCGATAAACTGCTTGACAAAGGCCACGTGTTGAACCGAGAGTTGTCACCTCGGCCGCTCATAATAAGGGCGATTTAATTATTTTTTTTTTTAGTTAAGCAAGGTATTTCTTTTTCCAAAAACAAAGACACGGGTTGTTCACGCCCGACTAAGACGTCATTGGCCAAGTGGATCACATGACGCACGAAGGAGGAGGAAAGATACCCGACCAGGACCTCATTGGCCGAGAATGGTCACGTGACGCACGAAGAAAATCAGTCGACGCCTCTATCCAGAGTGTAAGTATGAGAAGCCGATACGAAGAAGTGGGGAAGGCAGTGCACGCCCCTCAGAAGCACGGTGAGAGAGTGGGAGTGAGAAAAGAGTTACCAAAAATGGAAAAGAGTGGAAAATCCCTAACCAGAAATAAGAAGACCTACCCCGGTTTTTGTCGGCGTCAATAAAAGCGAGACCCCAACCGACAGAAATCAGTTCAGCCCCGAACGGCAGGCAGAGTTCGTTCGCTCCTAGCGGGCAGAAGAGGCCAGTTCATTTGGCCCTGAGTGCAGAGTTCGTGCGACCCAAGCTGGCGAGAAGAAGTTCGTTCGGACCTGGCGGTAGAGATGAGTGCCCAGTAGTTCAGACTCTGGCGAGAAGAGTTGAGCACCGGACGGCTGGCAGAGATGAGTGCCCAGTGTTGAAACCACATCAAGATAGCTGACCAAGATTCACGCACACTTTTGGACTCTTCTTCAACCAAGAACAAGTAGTTTGAAGAGCGACTTAGAACCAGACCACAGAAATAAGTTTTTTTCGACTTTCGTCCAAAGACACACCGAAACACAAATTTCTTAGAGAGTAGACAACTTGAAGCGTTAGAATTTGCCTAGCGAAAGCGTCGTGCCACAATCCACAGAACGGGTCGGGAAGTAGACATAGTCCTATGTACCGAACAACTAGACATAAAAAGTTTGTTACCTTTTTCTTTGATACTTTGAACTTTGTGAGTTTTCATTTTATTTTCTTTTATACATATTTGTGTGTTATCACCCCCGTTGAACTCAGCTTGCATTACGGCCCCAACCCCTGTTTGATCTCGTCTGTCTAAGATCAATTCACAACGTGGGTAGGCAGACTGGAGATCAGTGCAGTTACCCTGGTAACCAGGCGTTGGAAGCAGGTTGGGAACGGCGAGGCTGGTATCAATCTAACCAGATTCCTACCCGAATCACCAAAGGGTTAGAACGTCACGTTTGGAGCAGCGACACCCGGACGGAACAGCGAGGAGCGAACAGCTGACGCCGCGGCGTGACGTCACAATTGGTGCTGTTTAGGGACGTCACAACTGGCGCCGTGGAAGATCAGGATAGAACGTCACAGTCGGCGCTGCGACCGGGGACGACGTCACACTTGTGTTTATGTCCCCTATCTATCTAGTTATCTATACACACACACACACATAATATATATATATATATATATATATATATATATATATATATATATATATATATATATAATACATACATGTACTAATGTACAGCCAGTTAGATCATGGCTACAGGAATGTAGGACGTCCATGGCTAAGATACAAAGATAAGCTGAAAAGCAACTTATCAGCGGTTAATATACTACATAACACACTTGAGCGCTTAGCTTTGGAGCGGGTAGACTGGGAATCAACGTGTTTTAGTGGACTCAGCAATTTTCAATCTGCTTGTCTGAATCATCTTCAAAAAGCGAGAGCAAGATCTAAAAGGTCAACCAATCTAACAGTGATCTCATCTTACAATCCTCATACTTGCTCCATATGTGGCCTCCTTTGTAAATCACTAGCGGGTCTTAAATGCCACTTAAGATTAGCGCATAAACTTTCATAAAAGAATCAATAAGCTAGCAGATCCTCATACGTCGAAACCGACGGAAGAGTCCATTATATATAATCCCTTTCTTTCAGGTATAGTAATATTTGTGAATTTCTTTTCAGACTTGTTATACTTGAGTATTGAATATATTAGAGATGGCTGCTTCACAGCGTAATGTAAATAAAGATGTCAAAGGAGCTGGCCATCCTAGTACTAAAAAAGCTGAAATATAAATAATTACTATACAAACAACTGGGCGGAACGGCAAAGCGTGATCTCTTTGTGTCTGTCTTTATCTTAAAATATTTTAATTAAGAAAATTGTCTGTTCCAAGAAATTTAAAATAAAAATATTGTATAACCAACTCGTAAATCATTATACGCCGGCGCGATAGAGATCATAAGCAGGCAAGAACGCACGCATTTACAGACTTTTAGTCTTATAGAAATAGATTTACAGAAACATGTCTTTATGTACTCTGGGGAGTAAATGAAGATTTTTGTACAAAACTGAAGTGGTTATTTTGGACGATGAAGAGAAAACAAGCCACAGGTCATAACAAAAAAATGTGAAAGACACTGCAGTTAAAAGCTTTTTTAAATCTCAGGTGACGGAATAATGAAATAAAAGGAATCTTTGAAACCGTATGGTGGCCTACATCCTGAAGATATGGCATTAAAAAGAGACCTCATACAATCCTCCAAGTATTGTTATTGGAATGTAAACGGATACAAAACCTACTTTATCATTAAATTGGAAATTAGACTGGAAATTCCTATTTTTTCTCATGAGAGGATTTTAACCGATAGTATGTTATTAACTGGGGTACGATTGCCATGTTAACTTTAACCCTTCCAAAACAAAACTTCTCTCTATTTATCCTCTGAGGGAACCCTTTATGCCTCCCATCAGCATGGCTGATGTTAACCTCCATGGGATTGACTCTTTTCGCTTTCTCAGCTGATATGAAGTACAAAGATTATATTGAATCCATTACTCGGTTTGCTGCTAAGAAATTTGGTTCACTGTGTCATGCGAGACAATTTTTCTCTCCAGAGTCTATCTTGCATATCCATAGGTCCAACATTTGTCCATGCTTAGAATATTGCTGCCATATATGGTCTGGTGACCCTGCTATTTACCTGGACCGACTTGATAAGATCCAAAGAAGAATCAGCAATATTATTGGTCCTGAACTGGCGTCTCAGCTTCGGTCACTTTAATAAGTAAAAGTAATGTAGCTTCCCAGTGCCTTTTCTACAAATACTTTCAGGGTAATTGTTCAGATGAAGTCGTCGTTATGGTACCTAGATTTTTGGAGGTAAGCGCAGCACTAGATTGTGAGAAAGGTGTCATCAATTCACAGGTGAATTGGCATGATGTAACCGTACGTTCTATGCTAACATAGCTTTCCAGTGTCTTTTCTATAAATATTTTCATGGTAATCGTTCGGATGAAGTCGTCGTTATGGCACCTATATTTTTTAAATGTCAGCGCTGGACTAGATTGCAGGAAAGGTTTCATCATTTTAAAGGTGAAGTGGCTTGATGTAACCTTATGCTAACAACATCTTTTCCTAGCATTTCCCGTTTTTGGAACTATCTTCCGGCTCCGTGCTTTCTAGCCAACTTTGATCTTCCAAAATATGAACACAATCTCAATCGCTATCTACTCTCTTGTCTATTCCGCTGTTCGTCTCTCTTCCTAATGGTCCTCATTTTTTCTTGTTCTTCTACACTCAGTAAATCATTGTGTCTGAGTTGCTTTACAGTCTTGCATGGGTTGATATGATTAAAAACAAAGGTTTATTTTTATATTTAAATTGTAATTTGCCTGAACAGCGTTGCGGTCCGAAATCCCTGGAAACTTCTCATGGGTTCGGACCTCCCATGCGTTATGAATATTGAACAAAACGTATAAAACCTATAATCTATAAAACAAGAAATATCCAAGAGACTAACTCCTGAGGATAGTTTTAGACACTAGCTAGCCAGGCCCTGTTACCAAGTCTCTTCTCCTCTGATGGATTTTAATTCTTTCTATATAAGATTCTAGACGCGTCCGCTGAACACTGAAAATTTACTTCTCTTCATGGCGTCATTTCGACATTTGTTCATTCAATTTACAAGTTCTCGCCTCTATCATGCATCTTTGTTGTTTTTTTTTCTCTATCCTAACTGCGTTTATTTTGGCTCTCCTAACTAACTTTTATTGAACCCTTCTAAATCCTGTTGTTTTTTTCTTGTCCTTTTTCGTTTTTACTCATTTTTTTTTTTATTATTTTAGTTTCGTCACTAGAATTCTCAAGTGCTAATTTTGACTTGAGTCAATCGAGAACTTTGGTGAGATGGAATGTTATTTGCACACAACTAAATATTGGTCGCTCGAAACGTTAACCTAATCTACAGCAATGGAAATAGAATGAAATGAAATATATAAGCAGATAAATAAAGATGGCGAATTTTGGAGTTGGGTGAAGTGAGGCTTGTTTTCCTCTCCAGCTATATTTATTTTCGTTCTTTTTTTTTTTTTTTTTGTTGGCAAATATTTTCAGGCTTCCTCCTATCTGTGTGAATTCGTTTCAACCTAAGATTCATACTATCATGTTTTTTCAAAGATTATTCTAAGATCGATTTTCGGAAGTTTTTTTTTTTGTTTGTTTGTTTATTCCTGTTAAGGTGTAAACTTGATTGCTACCGAGCGCTTCCGGGTCGGGGGCGTATGCAAATTTTAGCGTATATATGCGGGGGAAAAACAAGCACAGCGTGCATTATTTAAATCAGTGAACCATTTTTTTCTGGCCTTGTGCCACATTTTTTTTTTCGAATATTTTATAAATGTACAGGGTGAACCGAAAATCTGATCACCCCCTACCAAAAAGGAGTGAGAAGAACAAGAGATGCAGCAATAGAAATCACAAGTTCTGGTTTCAATTTATTCACTTTCACACTACGAAAAGGTCCGTACGAACATCATCCTTTTCGTGTAGGAGCTCGTGTCAGCATTCTGAAATGGAAAATTCTATTATCTAAGAGTGGCAAGACTTTCGGATCAACCTCTACGCAAGCAAATAAGATCCAGCCGACTGCTAAAAAAAAAAAAATGCCAGATTCAGTTTGTTATATTTTTAATCATTTCACTCAAGCAAGGTCTAAACCGAGATCACGTTCCCGGTCTTGCCGGCGAAGTTGCACGGGGAAGTAATAGCTGCCTGTCGGGTTGTCGCAGAGGTGCGCCGGCTCCACGAATATCGTCGTCGTCTGCGGCATCTGTTCGTTCTTGCGGCGCGCGATCTGAATGCATAGCACTGAACAAAATTTCTAGCAGCCGGTCAAGAAATTTATTTTCTTTTTTCTAATCTGAAATGTTTTATTCACCCGCCTTTAATATCTAAAAAATAAACAATACCTTTAAGCAAAAAGAATAAAACATCTGAGTAATATTTAAACTTTATGCCTTATATATATTAAGAATTGGACAAAGTCCGACAATTTATTTATTAAAGACATTTTTATGTTTAACATTCTTTTTATAGATACAAGTATTTAAGTAAATGCTCTGTTTATAATAAACAGTATTAAATAACATCTACCGGCCTGAATGTCCGAGAAATTTTCAGAAAATATTCGTCCTCTTTGAACCGGATTCGAACCTGCATCCTCTACGGAACCGTCATTTACGCTGACGTGCCTTACCGTCTATAAACAAAGGAGCGTTCGGTACTGTTAGGTATAAACAGAGCTTATAAACTTAAATCTTGTATGTTATAAAAAGAACGTTAATTATAAACAGTCATTTACTTAAATAAATTGTCGGACCTTGTCCATTTCTTAATATATGACGTCAAAAAGAACGTTAAACATAAAATTCATTTAGTTTATAAATAAATTGTCGGACCTTTTGTGGCCGAGACGGTAAGGCGTAAATGACGGTTCCTTAATCGAATCCTGTCAAAGGATGATTTTCTATGAAAATTTCACGGACATTCAGGCCGGTATTTTGTTATACTGTTTATTATAAACAGAGCATTTATAAATACTTGTATCGAGATTAAACATAAAAAATGGAAGATATAAGTTTATAATCGCAAGACATTCGAATGCTTGAAGGTGGTCATCAGTGTAAAGAATTGCGCTCATGACAGAATTTATACTTTCAGCTTCTTAAGAAGAAGAGAAAAAAACAACGGAAGCGTCCAAAATTGCTTGCTCTGTCCAATTAAAATATTTTAGATCCCATACTGGTTATTATTGTGGTCATGTATTTTAACTGATTTTGGGCGCTTCCTTGGCTGGCTAGATGCAATAGTTTGCAAATGTCGTTATAAAAATTCTGCTAGGCCTCCTTGTTGTAAGCAGGCGGCCATTTGATTCTTCTCCTCGACTCCATGCCCAGAGAAGATGAAACCTGGAGCTTGGAGGGATTGGACTCTGTGGTGAGACTCCTGGTCCTTCCTCTCCTTCGTTTTACCAGGGCTTGTACCTGTACGTTGCTCAAGCCTCCCCCTCGCCAGGTATTTCATCCGGCCTTGGTGGATTCTTAGGCCTCGTTGGTTTTTGCACAACTTTCCACAAATGCATTCTTTCGAGTATAGTTGGGCGTCTCCGTTCGTTGTCAAAGAATCAGTCATGATAGAGATCTCTTCCACCCCCCTCTCGGCATCTCTCGGGGGTATATTAAACTTTTATATATATATATATCCCGTCCTGTGTAAGACGATGAACTACATCCAACAGCAAGGGCTCTGATCAGGAGGTTTTGAGGGGCGTGGAACCACCTCTTAATTGCTGATGTTCCCAGGTCCACCCTGACACGGGGTGGTAGCACCTGTCAGGGTCCCAGCTATGGGTAAATAGTTAATCCCCAAGCTGGGTTCAAAACGCTATGAAAGTGTAAAAATAGGAAACACTTTTTAAAAAGAAAATTATTACCAGAAATATATCATTATCAGCAATACATTTTAGGCAAAAAAATATTACCAGCAATAATATTTTGAAAAACAATATCATCAGAAATAGATTTTTTTGAAGGAAAAATATAACGAGCAATACATGTTTGAAAAAAAGATATTACCAGTAATGCAAATTTTGTCGGCATTAAATAACTCATTGAGGTTGATATGCCGTAAAACAAACCAAGCCAAACCAAAGCAAACTTAAATATAAAGTACAGTGTATGTGTGTTTGTGCGTGTGTGTGTCCAAGCAACTCCTCTGCTTCTACTGGTCCGATTTCAGTGATTCATAGCTCATTCAAAAGCCCTAGAAAAGTTAGACGAAGGGAACGATTTTCGTTGAGCTCAGATTCAGGGTTACTAGGTTACACAAGGTTAAAAATATATATTAATATATTATACTATCCATTGTCGTTGCTTTCATAGTTCAAGGGGAGTAACTCTTATTTTGCTTTTGAATCCCAAATCCAAAATTGCAGTTCACCTAAACTAGCTTAAAAGCCGCCATATCAGGGGGCATTTACGCTAGCTCCTGTGGAGGACACTTGGTTTGGACATCATCACAATAGCTAGGGAGGAGTAGATCCGATAGGCATCAATAAACTACAGAAGAACTCAAAATTGATTACGGCATTTAAGTATTGAATTAATGTTTAAGCTTACCTTTTAAAAATTCAACGATAATTCTTCTGCTGCCAATTTATTTAAAGTTTAATTTTATTTGATGTACGTAGGTCCTTATTTTCCGTACAAACAATTATTTTTATTTCATGGGTGACAGAACAGGGGACAATTTATAAGATAAAATTAATGTAGTGTAAAGATGGGAAAATAGAAATTAGAATTAGTTATACATTCAACATTTGAAGAGTTAGAGAAACATAATAGTTAATTAAGTAAAAACTACATTATGGAGTCTTTATGAATAAATACGAAAATGGAGGACAATTATCCAATGAATTCTGAGGTTAAAAAGCCCCAGCTCTGTTTTAATATCTGTATTATATATTATCTACTTCTAGGTGATATCATTATGATATTTCATTAATTAATTGTCCATCATTAGTGTTCTTTTATTCAATAATTGTTTTGATTACCATATGAAAAATAGTTCTGCTTAGAAATATCGTCTTATATATTCAAAAAAGTGTTTGAAATTTGCATTTTACTTGGCCTTCAGTAAGTCGGCATCTATTTGAAAAACTTTCCTTAACTATAACAAGGCAATTTATGAATGAAATATACATTTAAAATGTTTGTTTCACAGTTGTTACTTTGCGAAGTGATAGCGAGTGGGTGAAGCCTGCTAGTGATCAATAAATATCTCACTGCTTCTTGCTTTTACCTTTACCTTGCTGCGAGTCTCTCTCTCTCTCTTTCTCTCTGTAATTCCTGTCTTAAAGAAATATGAGGAATCTTCTGACTCCTCGAATTATCGCTCTAATAGTTCCTTACATCTTTTTGGCAAAGTAGTGTAGCTCTAATTAACACCGAATTGATTAATCATCTCAATTCGCCTCTTTTTGGATAGACTATGGCTTCCTTTTCCCCAGAGCTAACGCCAATGTGTTACCAACTATCACTATTTGTCTATCACACTTTTGATAACAATGGCGAAGTTTGTGCCGTGGCTGCAGATAATGTTCGGCAGCCTGGCCTTCTCCTCAAGTGCAAGACCAACGATGCCTCAAGGTGAATATTTGGCTTAAGCCAGTCATTTTTAACGAATATTGTAATGGAGATCACGTTGAAAGGACAGAGTTGTAGGTTTTGTTTTGTTTTTTCTTCACATTAATTCGAGAATCACCTAAGGCTGTAAACTTTGACCTACGTTTTTTCTTCCTGATGTCATCAATTCCCCAGTAGGTATTTATTCAGATCGCATAACAATTTTACGTATGCAGTTCATTCATCTAGTCAAATCCGAAAGACCTGACAAAGTAAACTTGGTAAATATTCTTGAAAAGGACCTTCAATCTGTGGTTAACTGGGGCAAGAAACGGCCTGTAAATTTTAACGCGTTCAAAACAAAACTACATTCATTTAATCGCCATAGAGAAATTTTTCTAGCTGCTATCAGCATGGTTGATGGTAACTTCCACGATAGAAATCTTGGCGCCTGCTTGGGCTAACGAATAGCGAATATTTGGCTTAATCCAGTCATTTGGATTAATCCAGTCATTTGGCTTAATCCAGTCATTCCTAAAGAAAATTGTAATGGAGATTTCTAGGGGTTTTTTTTCACATTAATGAAAGGATAACTTAAGGCTCTAAATTTTGAACTACGTTGTTTCTTCCCGATGTCATCAATTCCCCAGTAGATATTTATTCAGATGGCATAACAATTTTACGTATATAGTTCATTCATTTAATCAAATGCAACAGACCTGACAAAGTAAACTTGATAACTGTTCTTGAAAAGGACCTTCAATCTGTGGTTAACTAGGGCAACAAACGATCTGTAAATTTCTACGCGTTCAAAACAAAACTACTTTCATTTAATCGCCATAGAGAATTTTTTCTACCTGCTATCAGCGTGTTTGATGCTAACTTTGCGCCTTCTTAGGCTAACATTTTCCACTAGGCGAATATTTGGCTTAATCCAGTCGTTCCTGATGAATCTTCTAATTGCGATCTCGTTGAAAGGACTCAGTTTTAGGGATTTTTTTTCCACATTAATGCGAGGATTACCCAAGGCTCTAAATTTTGAACTACGTTGTTTCTTCCCGATGTCATCAATTCCCCAGTAGGTATTTATTCAGATGGCATAACAATTTTGCGTATCCGGTTCATTAATTTAGTCAAATCCGAAAGACCCGACAAAGTAAACTTGATAACTGTTCTTGAAAAGGACCTTCAATCTGTGGTTAACTGGAGCAAGAAATGGCCTGTAAATTTTAACGCGTTCAAAACAAAAGTATTTTCATTTAATTGCCATAGAGATCCTTTTTCTGCCTGCCATCAGCGTGGTTGATGGTGACCTTGCGCCTTCTTGGGCTAATGTTTTCCACTAGGCGAATATTTCGGTTAATCCAGTCATTCCTGATGAATCGTCTAATTGAGATCATGTTGAAAGGGCACAGTTTTAGGCTTTTTTTTCCACATTAATGCAAGGATCACCTAAGGCTCTAAACTTTGACTTACGTTGTTTCGTATCTTCATCAACGACCTTCCCGATGTCATCAATTCCCAAGTAGGTATTTATTCATATGGGATAACTAATTACTCTTTCCTTAGGCGCATTTACGTCAAGTCGGACAAAGTAAAACGAGTAAAAGGTTCTCCAAATAGTTGTTAACGGGGGCAAGAAACGGCT